AGTAGGAATAGACGATTACGGACATAAATATCTTAGAAGACCGAAACATATCGTAATAATGAGTTTTGAGTAGTTCACATCTGTGCGCAGCTTTGTTTATGTAATGTTCATATTTTATTGTCCCAAAATAATTTTCCCTCACCGACAGATCTGGTTCCTAGAACACCCTTCAACGACGGGCTTGTTTATTTTCACGGACGCAATCCAAGTTTAAATGTCGCGTTGCGTCCGCCCCTAAGGGTATTTTTAAGTAACATCAAAGACGAATCTACTGCAGCGTCTTAAAGTGAAGAGGTGGTGCTCAAACTATAAAACCGAATATCGTAAATTCGAAAATAAAAATGCAGTGGCGGCTAATGTTAGAAATTATTTGAAATTTCTTGAAGCGTTTCAACGTATAATTCGTCTACCTAATTTAACTTTCTATTATTATGAACAACATTTTTTTTTTCCTAAAGGATAGGTGAGATTGGAAATTTCTCCGAATTAGTGTTGTTATCGTTGGCAACTTTCTAAACTGGTAGCAGAACTTTCCAAATTATGCGAGTGAGTTAAAGGAATAACAATAATTTCATGATCTAGTAGCAGATTTACGACATAGTTTTTTAGAAAAAACCCTCAGCCTTAAAAAATAAAAAAGTAATAAACAATAGAAATAATGACCAAGTAGAAAAAACTAAACATCTTTTTTATCTCAAACGCGTTGATGGATTAATAAAAGCAAAGTCAGTACCTAATAGCAAATTCATTATAGAGCTGTATGATTGGATAAAAGGGGATCTAATTAGAGTCCTCAAAACATTGCTTACTCAAAAATAGTAATGGAAAGAACATATGAAGACGGCACATTTATAATATGGTTAATTGCAGACATATACAAAAACCGTGATTATAATGAGTGCCAACTGTACCTATATCACAGAGCTGGAATTTGGAATCTAATCCCTTGTTGGAGAAATATGTATATTGACTGATGTTGCTCACTGATTACTTCTTACTGTGATAAGAATATATTGTTTTATTTGACGTACATGAGACACCAGACAACAGTTTCGTAAGATACGCCGCTGGTACGGACATGTGTGCGCGTCAATAAAATGTTTTTCAGTTCGGGGTCGTTTATTTACCACCACCCCGGGATTTATTGCTCTGTCGCGCGAAAATGCTAGATTGTGACAGATTGATGACTCACACACTCACGTAGTAAACTCATAACATGGTATGACGCTACAGCGTTTCAATTATTTCATTATTTATATGCACTGGTGGTTTAACTATTGACACATAATAATTTTAATTTAATATTATTTGAAAAAAAAACATGACAATGGCAAGGCAAGGAATAAATTCATTATAAAAAGAATGTCCATTTAAACATAATGTAACACAAATCGCTTAGATACAGGGTGTTCGAAATTTCGAAAAAAGAGAGATAAATCAAAAATTGTTTAGTATTGACTACTAACAATTTCTCGGTATTCAATTTATATTGATGGAATGAACTTCTTCAGTAATTGCTTTCATAAACTAATAGTCAACGAATTTTACATAGAAAACACTAATATTAAACTCTTGTGGGAAAATGGTTTTTATTTTTTATGTTTTTGATTGAGAACTTCAAAAATTATTATTATTGTTTGAAGAACCGATAGAGTATCTCAAAATTAAATCTAAATCTAAATTCAAATTGAGATTTTAATGAAAACACACTGTAGACTAGAAACCAAGCATTCTACTTCTTTTTTTTTTCATAAAAAATGTTTTCCTATCAATCTGGTCCCCCTAGTAATTTAGAAATAGTGGATTCGTTTTGAACAAATATTTGGCTACACCTTTTTTATTTAGTTCATTTTTATAATTAGTAGTTAGAAAGTATTTTCCGGCCACTGTTAATAAATTAAGCTCCCCATTCGGTCAAAAACGCGACGGTTCATTAAAAGCATTATGGGATTTCCCACAATTTATGAGGCTCTAGAATAATCTGGCTCGATTCACGCCTAATCTGGTGTCATCCGTCGGCCAAATTCATTACTACACCAATTAATATTAATAACTGAACACCCGTTCCCTTATAAACGAGGCGGTAAAAGTGCCGACGCACCATATGAGCTGCGTTTCAATGCTCCAGACAAGCCATCTGAGTATTACGAGGGGCGTTCATTTTTCGATAAGCCACTTAAAATAGAAAATTGTCGATTTTAATGTTAAGAGAAAAAACTACAATATTCAAATCTATTCGCTAGATGTCTCTTTCGCAATTTTAAAACATTGAATTGAACATGAAATTTTATGAAATATCTTTTACATGTTTGTCCCCAGGGTTATTAAAATTATCTACAAATTTTATGCATTTTCTTATGCATTTATTCTCCACGAAAATAAAGTAGGTACAATATGCCAAAATACTAATGATTGTTGAATCCTTGCTTTTCATTAACTATTTAAACAAGTAAGCCTGTTCTATTTTACTTCTTTCTTTCTAAATCTGACAAACACATTCAAAGTGACAACACTGTATATTGAACGCAATGTTGATACCAACTGGGAAGATTTCCTATCTGAATCTGATGGTTTAAACTTATTGGAACGTAATCATCCATCTTAAAATGTGATGGTGAAATAGACAAATCTTGACGTCACGAAAACTATTACTTCCTTTGCTCCGTTTTTCAGAGCAGCCCGATTTGACATTCCACAATGTGGGATCACTAAAACTAATCCGAAAAAATTGTTGATATTTTTGAATCGTCCTATCGAATAACTAACTGAATATATAACAATCATGTCATCACACGTATTGATTTTGAAATTTTATTTAAAATGTTGATTAATTTCACAAGGTATTAAGAAGTTTGCTTTTTGCTTTTTCTGTGCACAAAAAATACATATTTTGTAATAAGCACATTATCCGCAAACTTCTGTAGCTGTTATTTCATGAAATATAAACACACTCATGTCAAATGAAGCTGCATAACATGGGTAAATAAACTTGAATGTATTCCGAGAACCAAATCATGGTAATTCAGTTTCTGGTTTAAATATTATTTAATCATTTGAATATTATTCATATGGACGATACTTACTTCGAAAACCTATTAAATTCGCCAGAAAAAGCAATTTTTTTATACCTAGTATTAAATCCGCAATTAAAGTTTCCACGAAACTGTTTTACTACTTTGCATAGTTCGTTTTCAAAATATAAAATCATTTTTCCTCCATCGATATACTAATTTAGCATAAAAACTAACACTTTTGGAAATTGTTAATTTCATGTATTTCCCTTTACTTATCAAGTTCTCTATATAACAATTAATATTTCCACCGTCAGTTTTTTTTTCAAAAGCGTTGAAAATTGACTTTAATGATGTGGCAGACTCTTCTTTTATTGCAGATTTTAATGGCGAATGACGCACCCCGGCTGTTCTGTAACTATCGCAGATTTTGATATCTTTAAGATTGAACAGTTTTCAAATACTGGCTAACTTGTAGCGGCAATTTTTACAACCTGCGGCCTAATCACTATCGCAAAAGGCCTCGTATGCACGACTGTACCTACAATCGTTGCTCTGGATGCATAACCACGTCATGGCAAACGTCACGTATGCACGCACATTTCTCCTGCTCATCCCCAGATATATTTTTTTAATAGGCACAAACAATCCATCATCTTAGTTTAGACTTTGACTGGTCTCTGTTTAAATAAATGATTTCGGTAAATGTAACTAGACGCCTTGTTCGGGCCAAAAAGGTCTTATTACAAGAGCGCATTGAACTTTTCAATTCCGTTCCCGGCCGCTCTTATTTCGGCTAAACGATTTTGATAATTATTACTATGGTACAAAAATTTCAGGGGTACGAATTGTTTGTTCTACCTTAACTTGTAATAAAAATTATCTTATAGATGGATATTTTTTCTATTACATTTATTGTTATAAAGTTAAAAGTTTTTTTTTTTAAAGTATTTTGCATTTTATGATTCTACACCACAAAACATTTTCAATAAATAAAGTTTTTCCAATGCTTGCAAATTATTTAAAATATTTTATATACCTATTCTTAGTCACAGATTTCTGTGATGGAGCAAGAGGTATAATATAAACGTATAATAAATATCCGCATATTTATCCTTGTCTAAACTCGTCGAAGGTGATAGTAGATAGCGCTGCACTCTTTAGTTCTAGTTCTTCAACCTAACTTGCCGTCTCTTGAAATTTAAAGCAGTTAGCAGTATCTTTGTAGTAAATAAAAAATAACTTGAAAACGTACAGAGCAAATAACTTATCCAAGAATATATTTATTTCTGCTGGACCCTATGCAGGTAATATTTTTTATCTGCAAATGGATGGCAATTCTTATATGGTTGGAGTTATAAAAGTGACGTTCCATGACCATCGGACGGAGAAACAGTGGACGGTGGCTAATGACAGCAGTTAAATAGTTAGCGGCCAACAAGGAAGGCAAGGGATCACACTCGCGCCCATGGGAGCTCTGATGCGGAAGGCTAAACTTTGAAATGTGGTACAATTACCACTGTCGCATTACGTGGGAGTGATAATTTTGCAAACTGTCCTAACGGACTTCCGACATTAGTTATGCTAGCCATAAACTGATCTATTATTCTCATTATCGTATACACGGTGGCCACTTTCAAGGTACTTATCATTGCGATATCCAAAACAGTAAGAAGTTGAGCTCAGTTTCCTATTCATTCTCAAGCTGGCATTCTTTTTCAACTGTTCTATTTATTTTTCCAATTTTTATTATTGTGTTGTTATCTTCACACATAGGAACAATGTTCTTTTATTTAAACGAGGGACGCACTAATCTTGGCGTTTTTTTATTTATTTAGCGTATGGCGCTTTACGCACTCTATATAATATACATGGACACATATTTCTAGATACGAAAATATACATATACACAATCATAACACAGCAAGTATGCTACGTTAATACACAATATAGACATAAAAATAGAACAAATAGAACAAATAATTTCAGAGAGCGTTGTCCAGTCCAATCAGCCATTGGATAGCCTCTTTAGGGAGTCCAACAAAGTCTGAGAGGGGGCCGGGGTATGCGCGATTGGGACACTCGGCCGAGATATGGCGGATCGTCTGAATACCATCTTGGCAGTCACATTGAGAAGACTGCTTTATTCACCATTTGAAAAGTGAATCACCGCAGTGCCCGTGGTCCGTGCGAACTCTATTTAGTTTCGACCAAGTGTTACGGGGCAAATCGAAGCCACTTGGTGGCTTGTTCACATTAAGAACCTGGTGCCATTCAGGGAGCGCGGCCTGGAGCCACCTTTGTTGCCAGCTTTCTTTAACATTGAAATGTGAGTTTGCAAGATCGATAGCCGTGGCAATAGGCAAGTGCCTCGATTTCAGGCGTTGTCTCCCAGCTGGGAAGTCTTCGTTTATGGGAAGATCCGGATTGCTTATTTTGTTGTATTCTCGGAGCAGGGCACGGGAGCGGCGAAGGTCCGGTGGCTCGATATGGCTTGGGGCGGGTAGCCAGTACAACGGTGTTGATTTTATGGTGCCCGAAATGGTGCGCATTGAGTCGTTTAGTTGTACATCCACTAGTTTGGTGTGGCTGCTGTTCTCAGGGTGTCTGCAGCAGCACCCCATGTAGTTCCTGCAAGTTTGTGTAGGATATTATTTCTCGTTTTCAGTTTTGCAGCCGTGTTGGTGAGGTGTTTTTTGTATGTTAGAGTCCGATCCAAGGTGACACCAAGATATTTAGGGGTTGAATTATGGTGGAGGAGTGCACCGTCGAAATATATACTGAGTCCTACGTTGGCCATTTTGTTGTTAAGGTGGAAGCAGCAAGACTCAGTTTTGCTCATACTAGGTTTCAATCTCCATTCTACAAAATAGACTGCCAGTCTGGACAGATCATTTGTTAAAATATCTTCTGTTGCGGTAATGTGCTTGTGTTGGACGGCAATCGCAAGGTCATCCGCATATCCGAATTTCTTGGATGTGGTGTGAGGCAGATCCGCAATATACAGGTTAAATAGTAGAGGGGCCAGCACAGATCCCTGGGGCAACCCATTGTTGAGTGTTCTTTTTGTGCTGTATTGATCGTCCTTGTTCACGACAAACTGTCTGTTAGCGAGCATATTATTAATAAGGCTGGTCGTCCTGCTGCATCGAGTGGCAGTTAGCAGTTTCATAAGCACCCCCTCCCTCCACACAGTGTCGTACGCTGCTGTAAGGTCCACGAAGACCACTGAAGTTTTCAATCCCTCTTGGAATCCCTTCTCGATGTAATTGGTAAGGGCAAGGACTTGGTCACAGCAGCTGCGACCCGGGCTGAAGCCAGCTTGCTCGACTGGGACGTTATTCAGAACTGTTTGGCTTATTCTGTTATATAAAAGTCGTTCTAGCATCTTGTACGTCGCACTAAGTAGCGCGATGGGGCGGTAACTACTTGGCGTTAATTCACCTCTATATCGAATGTGCAGTTTTGCAAATAATCTAAAAAATGACGTATTTTTGAATTTAATGCCGCTAACCGTTTTAAAAGTTATATGTATAAGAAAACTTAAAATTTAGTTTACTCATTGGAATGTTTACAGTATAGAGTTTTCGATGTGCATTACATTTCCACTGTTTCCTGCTCACGTTTTTGCTTGCGATTTACGTATGTATTTTAAATTAATGATATTATAACAAAAAAATTGAGGTCTAGCTTTCCTTTCCTTCTTTAAAGAGTTGCTATTTAGGAAATATAATAAATCAAATGTTTATTTATTTTTACACCCGTACAATATTTTAAAATTATGGTAGTTTTATCATTTTAGTTTTCATTTTTAGCATTAACAAATTAGTTATTTTTAATTTAATTAATTAAGTAACTAATTACTTTGACTAACTACCTCATGGGGAAAAATGCAGCATTTTCTATATTATATAATTTTTAATATTTTATCTAGAAAAAATTAAATGTAATAGTTTTTCTAAAAAAACTTCTTCAATTCCTCAAGAATTAAAAATAAATAAATATATTTTGCATTGAAAATACCTATCTTATCTACCTCAATTAAATCCACTGATTCTAAAATGTCATGTACAAATTATCAAGGATACATGGATCATGGATCATGGCAAATAACGGTTACTTACCAGAATAAAAAAATTGGTGCTTTTGAATTATTTTAATATAACATGTTAATGTTTTGTTAATGAAAGTTAATTGTATTTTTTGCATACTTCAAAACTGGAAAATCTAGTATGAAGTAAATAGTAAAACCCAAAAAAACCTTTTGAGTGTGCCTAAAAATGGCAAAATTCAATAAATAATATAAATTACTTAAATCTATTTTTTTTTCTTTTTCTCGCTTTCGATTGAAGATGGCCAACCACCGGTAGTCCCGAATTTAATTTTGCAGAGATCAAACATGTATTTAAAATGAAGTAGGAAATTAATACAACATAATGTTATGCCTGGCTAAATATTGTGGAAAAAGTTTGCGTTGCGTTACTTGTTGACTGACGATGTGATTGCTAACCAAAACTAATTAGTCTATTAAATGGAGAGTGGAACTATATAAAAATATCAACTTTATCGGGCATCACATTTTTAGATATATTTATTTTTGCTTTAATTAAATTGTGAAAGGCATCGACGTAGGCTCCCAATACACCAATTCCCAACTGGATTATCCGCAAGATCGATTTTGTGATATATACCGCTGGTTTTAAAAAGCAATCTAGGAAATTGTGATCGATTATTTTCCTGAAAATGTAATATACTAGAGTGATTTTCCATCGCATATTAAACGTAATTGACCTAATTACAGGGCTACGTCAATATGGCAAAAACTTTTTAGCTTAATATGGGTTGCAAATCGTTTAGATTAAATCCGATTCAAGAGAATATAAGCTGAGGAGAAGATGTCCTAATGACTTATTTAATTTAATCGTGCAAATAAGCGCCGAGTGATGATAGTATATTATACAACAAGTGCGGTAAACGACATTTGACTTATCAATTTATTTGACACGCGCGGAGCGCAGAGGAGCGACTGTTTTATAAATGAGTGACTTAAAAACTTTACCAAACTTGTTGCTTACTATACTTTTTCTACGACCGTTAGTTTTTGGGCACATTTTCGCAAAACAACACGAATGCATTCACTGACAAGACCGTCAGAATTGACAAACGTCAAAATTCAAGGCATGGGAAACATCTCCGAAAACATCCGATTATTCCCAAACCCGTGCGGTAAAATTCCGGAAATGTCCGAAGTAACTCGGATATGTGGGAAACGAAACTGACGCGGTATGGTGTCGCTTCCCGCACCCTAGATCGGTGTGTAATAAAAAACATTTTCATTTGCGAGCGAGGTCATTGATATCGTTTAACACCTTACTTCATCAGTGACCATAAGATGAATCGAATTTTTGAGGAGCAAGACTGGACTCTAAATTTGCTTCCCTTACAGAAATTAAAATAGTTTTTTTTTCTCTGTAGAAAATCCTAGACCGGCAGCGGTAATATTTAGTTAAATTCCAGAAGCTTTAAAAACGCTTTGCATATCATATTATTTACGAGCGCCGTAATTTCCATAAATTGTCAATTAAATAAATTGGTTTTTTAGATCAATTCAATCTGATAAGAATTAAAAATGAATAATAACGGTTGGACCAGATTGTGGACGTATTTTTCTGCGAACGAGAAAAAACTAGGTTAGGTCCCTGTACATTTTACAAATGTTTATACGAAAAACCGTCAGTCCTGTTGTAGTAAAGTCTCTAGTAACTGTTAACCATTTTAAATCTAGATTTGCAGTTTCAATGAACAATAAGAACATTTTAACAATCTTTCAGCTGATTATATTAACATTTGATTGTAGCGTGAGTTTAAGTCAGGTTAATATTTTTATTTATTTCAAATTGCTTTTGCATTTAGCTGCTTATTCCGGAAAAAATCAAAAAATCATTATACTTTTTTTGTCAAAAACAAAATGCGTTTATATATACCTATTTTTGCATTGAAGTCACTCAAAGATATATTTGTGAGAATCAATGTCGGCTATCTGAAGCGTGCAATATTAGCACAATATTAAAAATCGTGTCGTGAAAAGATTTTGAAATAATTTTTAAATGCCGTTTTTTTCTTCATATCTCATAAAGCGATCGAATGAAAGTTCACCAAACTTATCGAGTTACAGTCCGTTACCGAAGAAATTTTGTGCGATTTAAGTAGCGGTTTGTATGCAGACGCCATCGAGATCTATATCAGATTTATGGCCACCCAAGGTCCTTTTTCCATTCGGAGTCCAACTTTGTGCTGCGGTTTTTGTAGACGCCGGCATTTTTCCGTCTACCTATATTACGAAGGATTTAAAAATTGTATTCAATTTTATACAAATTGCGTATACGCCCGTACCGTCGTTGTATTGTGTCGACGTAATTGATGGCGAATTTATGCAGCAGTCCCGCTGTACCATTAGCTGAGTAGGTACTGCTGCAGTTCGAATTTGATGCATTTACTTCTCAGGCTCATCCGATTGTCCTTGTTGGAGAACAGTGCTGACCGTATAAGATTAACAGTTAAAGGACTAAAGAGGCTTTTTTTTAAATTCTCTTTTAGTGTTTCCAATAACTACATAATAATAAATAATTGTTATGTTATAACCGACATTTACTATCCCACAATTTGCCACACCCGATTAGCACATCTATATTGGTCCAATATTGGTAACTTTAATCAGATTTTTTTTTAAAAACCTACTATTCTTGATCACTATTAGTCAGTCAAACATCGACGGTGATGTGGGATCAATGCTATTTCGACATTACTTTCCTCTTCTATCTTTAAAATTTGGTCGTTCTTTAACTTCAATAAAAAAATCTTGTTTTTATGCAAATCTATTGTTAACACTTGTTGTGTAGGTAATGGATATGAATTTTTTTTTATATAGAAAATGATATACCGACGCCCCTCTCTCTCAAATCTTTATTTTGTGTAGTTTTTAAGTAATCTAGAGCATATTTTCATAAAAGCAGAAGATAGAAAGAACTCAGCAAACTAACGAATCCTAAGGGAGTTAAACAATGTTTTTACTTAGATAAAAATGTCACAGTACTCTTTTCTAACAAGTT